ACCTCCCCAACCTAGACTGCAAACACCCTACATTCTTTCCCTCTCCCACTTCCCACTCAACGGTCATCTTGCCTCAGCAAGGCTCCCAATTTGGTCACCTCACCACTTTCCCATTATGCATTACCCTCCTCTTGTCCTCATTTCCTTCTTTACTTAGAATCTAACCAACTCCCTTGGGGGCCCTTTTTTTTTTTTTGCTTGCCTCTGTCCTTCCCTGCACCCAAGGAGTTGAGTTTTGCCTGAGAAAAATCACATAAGCAGGCCGATTTCACTTTTTAGATTCAAAACCACAAACCTCAAAGAACATGCAACACTGCCCAGCATGTCTACACTTTCCTAATTATTTTGCTTCCTCAACCTCTAAGACAACAACTTCACACTTCACTCTTTAAAGTCCCGGCATCCTTCTCTCTCCTTCACCTGGTACGATGGCTGTCTGCCAATGACCCCCCAGAACTAGGGCTCTAATGTGGACCCTCCAGAGCTCCCAACAGCACAGCCAAACGTCCACTTGATATGCCGCCATGGATCTGAAGCAAGATTCTTCGTTTCCTCCCTCCAGACCTATTCCTCCCCCAATATTCCCCACCTCATAAATGATACCACCATTCCTCCAAGTTGCCCAAGGTAACCAGGACTTATCCTTCACTTTTCCTTTTCTCTCTCGGCTTCCACATCCATCCCACTTCTAATTAGCTCCCAAAATACATCCCAAATCTATCCACCTCTCTCCATCCCCACTGCCACCACAAAGATTAACGACCCATATCTCCACCAAGCCTACCCCAACAGCCTTCTGCAGGCTTTCACTATTTCTACATCTACCCTGCCCCGAACTCATTCTCCACACATCAGCCAGAAATAGACCTTATTTTTTTTTTTTTAAGATTTTATTTATTTGAGGGGTGCCTGGGTGGCTCAGTTGTTAGGCGTCTGCCTCCGGCTCAGGTCATGATCCCAGGGTCCTGGGATCGAGCCCTATATCGGGCTCCCTGCTCAAAGGGAAGCCTGCTTCTCCCTCTCCCACTCCCGCTGCTTGTGTTCCTGCTCTCGCTCTCTCTCTCTCTGTCAAATAAATAAATAAAATCTTTAAAAAAAAAAAGATTTTATTTATTTGAGAGCGAGAGAGAGCAGGAGCAGAGGGGAGCAGAGGGAGAGGGAGAAGCACACTCCCCACTGAGCAGGGAGCCTGACGTGAGGTTCGATCCCAGGACTCTGGGATCATGACCTGCGCTGAAGGCAGATGCTTAACCGACTGAGCCACCCAGGCGCCCCAAGAAATAGATCTTAAAACATAAATCAGGTCTCATTCCTCTGCCCAAAACACAATGATGGCTTCCCAAGACTCAGATAAAAATATGAAACTCTTGGGCGCCTGGGTGGCTCAGTTGGTTAAGCGACTGCCTTCGGCTCAGGTCATGATCCTGGAGTCCCGGGATCAAGTCCCACATTGGGCTCCCTGCTCAGCAGGGAGTGTGCTTCTCCCTCTCCCCGCTCTTGTGCTCTCTCTCTCTCTCACTCTCTCTCTCAAATAAATAAAATCTTAAAAAAAAAAAAAAGAAAGAAACTCTTTGCCATGGCCTTCAAAGCCTGAATACCCCAGTCCTCCATAGTAAAATAGGAAGGTTAAGGTGGGGGAGAGCCGTGGAGTTGACAGCTGCGGTTGGCAAAAGGAGGCTAGGAATGAAGAAGGGGACTGCCTGAGGCAATGCTTTTTGAGAGATTGGGTTTTTTTTTTTACTGTTTTATTGATTTTCAATAGGTTATACATGCCTAAGGCAGAAAAATCAAAAGACATCAAAGGGTACATACAGTGATGTCTCCATCTGTGATCACATCACCCTGTGTTCCTAAATCCTCACAGAATCTATGCCTGTGCATACACTCCAGGTAGAGCCCCTCATACACATCCACAAAAGAGCCTATCACACGCACTATTCTGCACCTTTTTCTTTTTTTTTCTTTCAAAGATTTTATTTATTTATTTGACAGAGAGAGAGAGAAAGCACAAGTAGGGGGAGCGGGAGAGGGAGCAGACTCCCCACTGAGCAGGGAGCCCAAAACAGGGCTGGATCCCAGGACCCTGGGATCATGACCCAAGCCAAAGGCAGACGCTTAACCAACTGAGCCACCCAGGCGCCACTTTCTTTCCTTCACTTATCAGAAGTTAGAGATCTGTCCTTACCCACACCTAGAGAGTTACCCCATTCCAATCTCCTACCAGACATCTGTGTGGTTCCCAAGGCTTTGGCAGGATGGAGCCAGCCATACTATGACACAGTGAGAAGCTAGCCCGTTTCCTTCCTCCTCTTTGCCCACCTTCCTCCTCACCCTCGCCAGTACCACTCTCGCTCACGGCAACCACCCCACACCTAATTCTTTTCTTCTCCCTGAGCCCTTTCTTGCTTTTGGCCTTTGCATTTGCTGTTCCACTGCCTGAAATGCTTCTCTCCTGGTTCTTTGCAAATGGCTTGCTCTTTCCTTTTCTTGGCTCATCCTCAAGTCATTTTCCTCAGTGTGTGCCCTGACGGCCCTATCTACAATGCTTGGGGCACTCAGTGACCTCTTTCATCTCTGTCTCTGTTTCTTCCCTTCATAGCATTGCTCCCAATGGAATTACTCTGGTTTAACTGTTTACATGTGGATTGTTCATCTGTAAGCTCCCCAAGAGCAGTGGCCTCCTCTGTCTTAAGTCCATGGCTATTATCTCCAGCACCTAGCAGAGCATTCAGAACCATCAATAAAGATTTTGTGAATGAATTAGTTCTTTTGCCATAACCAACACCGTACACTTTCTTTTTTTTTTTTTTTTAAGATTTTATTTATTTATTTGAGAGAGAGAGACACAGTGAGAGAGGGAACACAAGCAGGGGGAGTGGGAGAAGGAGAAGCAGACCTCCCATGGAGCAGGGAGCCCGATGTGGGGCTCGATCCCAGGACCCCGGGATCATGACCCGAGCTGAAGGCAGATGCCCAACGACTGAGCCACCCAGGCGCCCCAACACCGTATACTTTCAAAGTGCCAGGCACTGTGCTAGGTACTTGCCCTGAACTACTGCATTTAGGTTCTCACATCTTAGAGATGAGAAAACAGATTTTACAAAGCAATATCTCTTTCCAGATGAAGCAAGCATTCAAACCCAGACCTGACCCTAGTCTCTATACTATACTGTGTAAGAAAAAAGGTTAAAATATCCCAAGTCGAGTAAAACATAGTAATTAGAAATATCTCACCGGAGGCTTAGAGGTATAAATTCAGAACGGAAAACAAAACAAAACAAAACAAAACACCCACACCTTACTAGTAATAGTGTTACTCAAGGAGTAGGACATTAAATGGGCAATGACTTCACTTGTCAGACTTCAGTTTTTACATTTGCAAAGTAAAAAGATTATGTGTACTGAAATATAAAAAGGCAGCTGGAAGAGTATTAAATGCATAGTTGAGTTGAGCTATTTTGACAGTATTGTGTATGTTGTAATTTAGCACCTCAATGCTTGATACTTAGGCAAATATCCTTTTCATCCCACATTATCTCATTTGATGCCATTTACTTGTACTACCTGAACCCTTCTACTCAAAACTGAAGTCTTCTGTAATTTTTCTCTCTTCTTAAATTGTTGCATTACCAGAGATGTAAAGTACTTAGCACTTACCTGTAAAATTATCCTGTCTTATTCCAGGGTTCCTAAAACTACATTCTTCCTACCTATTTTAAACATATTCCAAAGACAAGGAGGTTTCAAGATACAAATCTTTCCCTCTTGGGGCACTTGGCTGGTTCAGTAGGTGGAGCATGCAACCCTTGATCTTGGGGTCTGGGTTTAAGCCCCACACTGGGGGATAGATTGTACTTAAAAAAAAAAAAATCTGGGTGGCTCAGTGGGTTAAGCATCTGCCTTCAGCTCAGGTCATGATCCCAGGGTCCTGGGATGGAGCCCTGCATCTGGCCCCCTGCTCAGCAGGGTGTCTGCTTCTCCCCATCCCTCTGCACCTCCCCCTGCTCATGCTCTTGCGCGTGCTCTCTCAGATAAATCAATAAAATCTTTAAAAAAAAAAAAAAAGGTTAATGGAAGAAGGATGCTAGGTGAAGCCACGTGTGGCCCACAGAGGCATTAAAGTTAGAGTTGTAACCACAGACCCTCCACTTAAAGTCTCTGAGCCTCAATTCCCTTATTTAAGAATTAATTTTGAGATAATTTTAGAAAGTTCCTAGTATAGAGCCTGGCACACAGTAAGCATCCAACAAATGGCAAAGAATTCAGCACCAAGACACTGAAGAAAGGTGGCAATTAAGATTCAGATTTCGTTCACCCGGGACGAAACATACTCTTCTCCCTATAAACATTCAGTAATAAGTTACTATGAGACATACTCTTCTCCCTATAAACATTCAGTAATAAGTTACTATGAGATCACCTACAATCTTACATTTCAGGAAACACCACAAACCCTGCGGACACATTCCCATTATCCCCTGCAAAAGTGAGAATAAACAGACCACATTCTGCAAATAAGAATACCGAGGGAATGACGAATAAGTAATTTGACTAAATTCCTTGACTGAGGCCACAGTAGTTGCCAGAACACAAAACTCAGTTATTCCATTAAGACCCCTCTAACCCCTCCGGCCTCAGCGCATCACCTTTTCCAAAAGCCTTCCTTCCCACCCTACCTGAAAAGCGCCCCCTCACCGGGTCTGAACGACAGCCCCGCTCCTGGACAAGAGCCCTCGTGGCGCGGCCCGGCCCCGACTCTTCCCCAGGGCCCTCCGCGATCCTCCCGCTCTCCGGCCGCTGCGGTCCTCGCCGGCCCCGCCCGGCTCCGCACACTGGGCACCGAGGAGCCGGACCCGGGGCGGAGGGGAGCGCCGGCCGCTCCCTCCAGCCCACGGCGCCACACCCACCGGCCGCCACCCGCCGCATCTCCGCGTCGTCGCCCTCCAGTCCCGTGGAAGCCCCCGCGGACCGCCCTCGCGGGCGGCGCCCCCACACCTCACCCCAAACCGGGCTCCGGCCCCTTCTCGGTCGGACCCCACGCGCCGCGGCTAGCGCACCCGAGACCCGCCGTCGTGGCCGTGCTGCGGCCCACCGCCCCGCTCGCTCCGCTCCGCTGCCCGCAGCCCCTCGCCCGTGCCGCCACCTCACCCGCGGCTCGGCGGCCAGGGTTTCCGGACGCTCACGTGACCCGCCCTTCCCCGAGGCATGCTGGGAGTTGTAGTCCGACCGCGGCTGCACCGGCAGGCCGCCAGGGTGGCGGGGAAGGCGGAGGGAGAAGGAGGATGGAGGCCTTGGTGAACCTGGCTGCTGGGCTGGGGGAGGGGACGATGGCCAGGAATGTAAACTGGAAAAAGGCAGTGAGAGAGAGGTAAGATATAATCTGGAGAGAAGTGCTATCTAGGTCATCTTTTTTCAGAAAAGCTTTACTTTGCTCTTTCTTTTTATTAAAAGTAAAACGCTACTAAGTTTGCTACTGAGTAGCCAGCCATAAGGGCATAAGACTTAGATTTTTGTTTAAATTAATTAAATGCAGTGGCCCCTGCAGGCGGCCAGTAATCTGCCGCTATCATTCACCGTTCTGCGCTCCACCCCCCCACCCAGTCAAACAGATGAATGTTAAGATCCTGACAGCCTCTCGAAAAATTTAAAGGCCTTAGGACACAGGACTTGCAAGTAAAATCTGCTGCCCTCCTGGGCTCTCTTTCAACTGTTGGGGAAATACAACTTTAAAAAGAAATCTCCTAACCCAGAAAACCTCTCCACGAAGAGAGCAGAGAAAGAAAACAGATTTACTGGGCTCCTGGGTGGCTCAGTCATTAAGCGTCTGCCTTCAGCTCAGGTCATGGTCCCAGGGTCCTGGGATCGAGCCCCGCATCGGGCTCCCTGCTCCGCGGGAAGCCTGCTTCTCCCTCTCCCGCTCCCCCTGCTTGTGTTCCCTCTCTCGCTGTGTCTCTGTCAAATAAATAAAATCTTTAAAAAGAAAACAGATTTACTACTGGATAAGCATTAAACCAGAACGTGATGCTCATTATGAACAATGAACTAACAGATTGCAAAAAGACAGAAAGGAATCTCCCGCATATACAGCCAAGCATACAAAACCCCTTACATGCATGTTTTCAGGATAAACCATCACCAGTCCTCAAACGAGAAGACTTGACAGGACATTTTGTTACATATAGTTGGTCCTAACTTTATCATGGTAATTGGGGAGACTGCCTATGTTGGCTTATTCAAAGGAGAAACAAACTTCTCATATCTTTAGGACAAGAGATAGTGTTGCAAGTTGGAGCAAGGCGCCCACAGATGTTAGGCTTGGGAACTAGGGGCCTGGAGCACTCCCCGGATGTTTATTTCAAAAGCTGGCTCCTGGGTCCTGGAAAGGTTCCTGACAGGAGACTGGCAAGAGATTATTTAGCCATTACGAAGCTATTCATCTATTTGAAAGGGACAAAGAAAGAAATTTTGAAAGAAAAAGAAAGAAAAGGGCAGGGTGGAGGTGGGGGTTCTTCTTTAGTTTCTCTTCCCTTCTTTCTTTTTTTTTTTTTTTAAAGACTTATTTATTTGACAGAGACACAGTGAGAGAGGGAACACAAGCAGGGGGAGTGGGAAAGGAGAAGCAGGCTTCCCGCGAAGCAGGGAGACCGATGTGGGGCTTGATCCCAGGACCCTGGGATCATGACCTGAGCCGAAGGCAGACGCATAACAACTGAGCCACCCAGGTGCCCCTCCCTTCCCTTTGCTATTTCTAAGGGAGAATTAAGCCTCTTATTTTCAATTTGTATTTGCCATGTGATGTCAGGGTGAGCAAAACCAAATCCCCCAAATGGTTCACTTTTCTTTTAAAAAATGTGGAGGGGTTCCTGGCTGGCTCGGTCGGTGAAGTATGCAACTCTTGATCTTGGGGTGGTGAATTCGAGCCCCATGTTGGGTGTAGAGATTACTTAATAAAATCCCTACACGTGTATATATGGAATATTATTCAGCCTTTAAAAGGAATGAAATTCTGACACACGCTACAACATAGATGAACCTGGAGAGCATTATGCTAAATGAAATAAGCCAGTCACAAAATGACAGATATTGTATGATTCCATTTACATGAAGTACCTAGAGTAATCAAAATCATAGGGAGAGAAAGTAGGATCATGGTTAGTAGAAATGGGAGTTATTGTTTAATGGGTAGAGTTTCAGTTGGGGATGATGCAAAAGTTCTGGAGATGGATAGTAGTGATGGTTGCACAACAATGTGAATATGTTTAATGCCATTGAACAGAATCCTTAAAAATGGCTAAAATGGAGGCACCTGGGTGGCTCAGTCAGTTAAGCATCCAACTCTTGATTTCAGCTCAGGTCGTGATCTCAGGGTCGTGAGATCGAGCCCTTTGTTGGGTCCCACACTCAGCACAGAGTCTGCTTAAGATTCTCTCCCTTTCCCTCTGCCCCTCCCCACCCCAGCTCTCACTCTCTCTCTCTCAAAAAAAAAAAAAAAAAAGCTTAAATGGTAAAGTGTACATATTGTGAAACATATGTGTGTGCATGTACATATGTCTATGCATGTGTGGAGAGGAATAAAATAAGTATAGGGCGCCTGGGTGGCTCAGTCAGTTAAGTGTCTGCCTTCGGCTCAGGTCATGATCCCAGGGTCTCCTTGCTCAGTGGGGGACTCCTTGCTCAGTGGGGAGTCTGCTCCTCCCTCTCCCTCTGCCCTCCCCTGGTTTGTGCTCTCTCTCTCTAGCTCACTCTCTCTCAAATAAATAAATAAAATCTTTAAAAAAATAAATAAACAAAATAAAATAAGTATATAACCTGCGTCACTACCACCCAGGCCAAGAAGCCCACACCACACTCTCTGCGCTCATAGTCATGTTGGCAGAAAGGGTCTGGTGGAGAAAGTCAGAATGGGGGAGACAGAATCTCTCTCTCTCCTTAACTTCCATAACTATCTAGGCATTTTACTATTTGATTATTTTTTTTAAGATTTTACTTATTTAGGGGTGCCTGGGTGGCTCAGTTGGTTAAGCGACTGCCTTCGGCTCAGGTCATGATCCTGGAGTCCCAGGATCGAGTCCCGCATCGGGCTCCCTGCTCGGCGGGGAGCCTGCTTCTCCCTCTGACCCTACCCCCTCTCATGTGCTCTCTCTCTCTCATTCTGTCTCAAATAAATAAATAAAAATCTTTAAAAAAAAAAAAAGATTTTATTTATTTATTTGCGAGGGAGAGAGAGAGAGAGAACATGGAGGGGGAGGACAGAGGGAGAAGCAGGCTCCCCGCTGAGCAGGGAACCTGCCCGCAGGGCTCCATCCCAGGACCCTGAGATCATGACCTGAGCCAAAGGCAGACGCTTAACCAACTGAACCTCCCAGGCGCCCTAGACATTTTACTATGTGATTTCTACTTCTAGATGTTCTCCAAGTACTGGGGCTGAGTCAGCTGACTTTTTTTTTCTTCCCCAGTAACCATTACCAGAAGAAGAAACCGTTTTGACACCTAGCCTCACCGACATGCACATCTAACAGGTTTTATTTCCTGCCTCCCACCCATACAGGGTGCTGGATCTTGAACTACATGTCATTTTCAGTGCACAGACGTCTGCCTGTGACTCCCCAAGTGACAACGTGCCCCAGGTGCACTCAGCAGTGCTTTTGTTTTCTTGCTCTACCTGCCAGCACCGGGTTTATGACTCAAGAGAGGTTCCTGAAAAGTGATGTGTAAATGGAATAGGGGGTAAGAGAAATTATAACTTACAGGTGTTCTGAAGGAATTACAGAAAGAAATGCTCTTGGAAAGTGAATAAACCCTCATCTATTTCAGTGCTTCTCGATCTTTTTAGACCCCAACCCACAGTAAGAGATACATTTTACATCACCTGGGTACATCCATGCATGGACACAACTGACCCAAACAGGGTACGAAACAGTACTTAGCCTTACCGCATGAGATACATTCTGAAATTCTGTCCTAGTTTCTTCTGTAAAAATGCTGGTTGCAGGCCACCTGGCTGGCTCAGTCGGCAGAGCACAATGCCTCTCAGTCTCGGGTCGTGAATTAAAGGCCCATGTTGGGCATGGAGCCTTCTTTAAAAAAAAAAAAATGCTGGTTGCCACCCACAAAAAAAATGGATTTCATGACTCACTAATAGGTCTCAACCCACAGTTTGAAAACACTATACCAATTTAAATATTTTATCAATCTGATGTTTCCATTTTGCACATGGTAGCTTAACTGCCTACACCTTACATTCTACATTATGGAGAGAATCTAGTCCCTAAGATATGATAAGCGGTGACTCTTCCAGACTCTGTGAGGGAAAAACTTAAGTTTTATGCTTTTACTGCCAGTTAGGAGACTGATAAATTCTAGGTTTTCTCAGACCTAGAAATCAACCTTCATTCTGTGGTAGATTTTTTGAGGAAGGAAAACAAATGTTTTTCAGCTCTTTCTTCCCATGCAAGTTCAGAGTTGTTTTGTTGTTTTTGTTTTTTAATCTTCTCTTTGGGTCACCTCCTTTCTCTCCGTGGCTCCTCAGAAAGAGTTATTCAAGTCCACAAAACAGCCAAATGACTCAAGACCTAGATCTGTATTCTCCTTGACATTGCCCCCCCTCAACTAGCCGCCCCCCACCCCAGCCAAACAAGGGACCCCAGGAAAAACCGGGGGGCAAGGACTGCAAAAGAGAAGGTGAGTAGAAGGAAGGAACAGGGTGGCTGAAATGTAAGGGCTAGTCCTTGTCGTCTGGCTCTGCTAAGTGCCGAATGTCAGGAGGGCAAGTTGACTGCGTGGGGAGCACTGGCCAGCGCCTCGCCCTGCGCTTTGTACCCAACGGCAGCTGAGGCCAGGGCGGTGGGAGGGCTCGCGCTTTCCTTTCACTTTCTCAGGTCGCCAAGCCCGACACCTGGGGACCGAACATCAGCTCCCACCACTCCGGCCAGGCCCGGAGGAAGGAAGAAAGGTGTGGAGGGCGGGGAAGGAAAACTAGGAGAATAAAGTAAACATTACCTGCCAGCAGAGGTGGGAGAGCGAGCCAGGTAAGCAACAGGTGAACCAGGAAGGTGAAGGCTACAGGATGCGGGGTGGAGGGCATCCGGCACCGGCGGGTGGGCACCGCTCATTTCTCCTTGCAGGG